GAAAGAATGGTTTCAATAGGATGAATTAACAATCATGAAGCAATTGTAATGGTTAGTCTGTCACTCTGATTTCCCGAGAAATATTTGCAACTATGGGAACCAAAATGCATCATCAATTTGTAGCCATCTGTCTTTGAAATTTCAGTATTTTGCAAAACTTAGCGCTACCTTTTCAGGCTCAAGGCCCAATTCCTTTGAAAGGTTCTCCCTCATGACTCTAGATGGAAGTTCATTCTCAGCAAACACCTGTCGGAGTTTCTGGAAGGGCATGGAAAATAAAGAGAGCAGAAAATAATCATGTCCATAAAATTAGCAGACTCCAATCATACACTTTTATGGGGAACTCGAGCATTTCTACCTCTACTTAGTGTGAGGAATTCTGAAAAAAGGTCGCCTGCTCTTCAGGTCCAAGGTAGCTGTCTTTTCATTTCTGTCGTTTCAATGTTTAAAATTTTTGTCTCACTTTCATACAAAGTCATAAGTGTGCTGGCAGCATCTGACTCTTTTTCTCTATGCTTTTTTTACCTGGACCCCAATCTTCATCTTCACTTACTTGCTCATATTGAGGAGCATCCTTTCCAAACATTTCCTACCCAGAGGGGAGAAACATGGTACGAAAAAGGTGTTAAGTAGTGAGCAACAACATGCAAAAATTCCACATTATTGTTTACCCTGATATAAAAGTTCTGTTGCTTATGCAATACTATGATGGCAAACCATGAGCATGCATTCGAAAATTGTCTAACATTTGTGATGTACATCCATACATTGTAAATTCTAGCTACAAAAGCAATGACGTATCACAAAGCTTTCTTCAAATACTCCTATTCTTCACCCTAACCAATTCCACAACTCCCAAAAGTGTTGCTTTTTCCTTTATTTCCTCATTTCGTGCCCCTACCATTTCTTTCCCCTACTTAAAAGTTAATAATAGGCAACAGAAATTCTTCAAATACTCACATATAGTTTCTTGTAATCGACTGCTCTTCGCCTCCTACGGCCACAAACAATTTCCCCATCACTGGTTTCATAAGAATCGGCACCACTGTCAAATGGATGGTTTTCACACCTTCCAAATCCAGAAAGATCTTCACTATCCACAGACCAACTTAAACTGGTTGAACTGTCTGCATCATCCGATTCAACACCATCAGTGGCCGTGTCACTGATCCTGCAGCTGTTTTCCCGCCTCCCTGGATCATAATCATCATCATCAGAATCATCTGAAGGCCATTTGTCCTCTGGATTTAGTGATGTAATCGCATCATCTGGGAGAGCAGCTTCATCTTTGAAAATATCCTAACCCATTAAGAATGACATCATTGCTATTTGATTGATAGAACAGTGAAATCCAATTTAGGTACAAAGAGCAGCAGAGGTTATCAACACTTGATAAAGACTGTCATAATACCTGCCAATGGCTGTCAACAGAGAAATGGGTTCCAATATGTGCATTCATTGCTTCTATAATTGCCATCTTACAATCACAAAACTTGCAGAACCAGCCCTGATCTCCTGGAGGTACTGTCCATTGATTTGAAAACATCTTATCGTGAAGCCATTTAATTTATAATTTGGATCAACTTATTTACACAACTGGAACTTACTATTTTCAGTGTCCAGTGGAGGATCCAGGCACTTTTGGTGGAAGGCCCGGTTGCATGTTCCATCACAAAGTACTATATCATTATCTGGAAAAGCCTCACGTAACTTGCACTTTGCACAAAATATCTATAGGAAATGAATCAATGATAACAGAAGATGAGAAAATAGAAATTGATTATAGAAATCTTGCAAATCATGATTTATAGTTTGATATAAACAACTATGGAAGTTACATGTTCATGGTAAACAGATCCATCTGGAGCAATAGCAGAGCCTTCGATGCTTCCTACTGAACTGAGCGAATCCAACAGGCGAATAGCCTCACGTATCCCAAGTTTGCACTTCAATATTTGTTTCATGGCCCTTTGCAGTTCCTTTTCTGGCTTAATCTTTTCTCGACTGTGATAAAACAAGATAATCTGAGTAAATGGATAATAGAAGGAAAACGAATAGTTCCTACAACAATAAGTAAATGAATATTTGTATAGCCAATAGTAACAGTTTATTTCTATTCAATGTTTGAACAAGGTAGAGCTCAAATTCTTTTATCACGTCATTTCACCAGTATATGTGATAGCTGGTCATCTCCAATTGCTATATTAGGATAAATATGAGGGGGGGTTTATATTTTATCTTACAGTAATTGAAGAGCATTTTGCTGTCTACTTAAGATTTGAGCGGGCAAGAAAGAATTGAACAAGATAGAGCTCAAATTCTTTTATCACGTCATTTCACCATATATGATGCTGGTCATCTCCAATTGCTATTAGGATAAATATGAGGGGGGGTTTTATATTCTTACAGTAATTGAAGAGCATTTTGCTGTCTACTTAAAGATTTGAGCGGGCAAGAAAGAAAGCTTTGTACCTTTGACCTTTCCAGCCTTCCCCAGAGTAAGCATCAATAAGATTCTGTTCCAGCTTCATTTTAATCAGAAGGTACCTCGTTCTCCTCTGCAACCGAGATGCTTCATCCAGCTCCACCTTATTCTTTTGCCCCTTCTTTGATTTCTTGGTTAGTTTTTTAATTCTAACATCCGCATTAGCCTTTTTGCCACTCTCCTCCAAACTATGATGAGTAGCATTTTTACCTTGAAGCTTTGATGAACCCAACTTCTTAGAAGACCCTTTCTTGTTTGCTTTGTGCAGGTTTGTCTTACAACCCACTTTACTGCTGGAACAGACATCATTCCCCGGCCCCTTGGTAACAGAGGCAGTAACTTTCCTCTTCAACAAGGATGAACCAACTTTCTTCACATGATGTTTGGGCTTGCGTACTCTGCCATGGGAAATTTTGCATCGATTTTTAAGTTTTAGTGTTGCAATTAGCTTAGACCCAGCTTCTCTTTTAGAAGAATAGGATTTGGCAGATCCATGATCAGTTAGTTTGTTTCCAGTACCATGCATACCGATCTGCGCTGTACAAAAATGAAAAACATTTGGGCAATGCCAATAAGTAACGATTTCTCTATAGAACACCTAGAAATTAACTATGAAAGGAACCTAATCAATCTACTCCAAGAAATTGTTTCATTTTTAATATTTCTTTTTATGAATGAAAGCGAGAAAAGGAAGTAAATTAAGAGAAGAAGTAAAAATCAGGTATGGTCATTCACAACTGACCTGCTCAAACTGTTTCCTGCTCGGCTTATAGAAAGAAACAAAGAAGGGCATCAAAATGAAATTGATTGATTTCGATATAAATAAAAGGAAAACCAACGATGAAATTGGAATCTCCCCAATCGCCACCACCGACGGTCGCCTCCCTCTTTAGACCACGACTCTGCACTTCTTTTCTCTTTTTCCCAAGATTTCTTTTTAACTTTTGATTTCTACCTCCACATTGACTCTCTCTCTCTCTCTCTCTCTCTCTCCCCCCTTGTTAAAATCAACTGTGGTAATTTCACTCGACGGGCTCCTTTTCTTCGATTACTGAATTATAATTGCGTTTTCATTTTGATTATTAAATAAAAAATCTATTAAATTTTTAACATTAAGAAATTCGATTAGTCAAATCCTCCGCAGTTGAATTATTTACATGATAATTTTTAAATTAAATTAATAGTAGGTAAGGACATGAGTTTTTTTTATCATTTAAAAAACTTAATTGATTCTTGAATTATTTTTATATTTAATGTGATCCCTAAATTTATAAAACAAATCAATATAATCATTTGATCAACAGTTCTTATCGTTGACTGTTATAATATTGACGTAACACTTTACAATACTGGTGTGACGATCTACGATATTAACATATCAATTCATGGTGACTGATGATATGTTGATAATGTGATCGATGGGTTAAATTTAATTTTTATTAAGTTCGAGGGCTAGATTGATTTTTTAGGGGTTTAATTTTTTGAAAAATATTTTACATTTAAAATTAAAATTAAAAAAAATTAATTAAATTATTATAATATAATTATATATCTATATATATATATACATTAACCAAGGTGAATGAAAATGTTGTTTAAATGATTCATTAAATTTAAGGTAAATTTTAATTTGATTTTTATTTTATTTTTTAGTAGTATAATTATATTGTTATGTTCAAACATGTCAATTTTAATGTGGAACTTAATATATTTTTTTTGTAGATACGAATATGTTATTCCTTGAAAAAAATAAAAAATATAACGGATTGAAGAAAACAATTCAAGCACATAGAGTATATATCCATATTAATTTTTTAGAGTTGTATCTAACATAAATTGATGGATACGTCAATTTTCCTTTTTTTTTCCTTTTTTTAGCAAAACTTATTATTTTTTTTAAATAAAAAATAATTTGAGGTGATTATAAGATAATTTTTATTTTTATTTTTTAATTATTGATAGTGCATAAATACATATCTACTAGAACTTGAGACTTCTCCTTTTATTACCTTTTAATGTTTTGATTTTTTTTTTCATTATTCTACAATGTTTTTTGAATTGGTTTTTTTTTTCATTATTGATAGTATTTGTTTTGAGGCGATTATTGTTTTTTCATTATTTTAGAATATTTTAAAATTCTGTTATTTTGAATTATGAATTATACTGATTAATTCTATTTAAGAGATTCGAGCACATTATCTCTATAATTATCAACATCTTTCTAATTTTTGAAAAAACATGAATATGAATATGAATATAAATAGTTAAAATTATTTTTGGTTATATAAACAGGAAGATTTAAAACTTGTGATGGAAGTTACAACCAAAGATTGAATGTCAAAAATATCGAAATGAGTTGTTTCTTCTTATTCCATCCATTAGAGAGAGGTGTCTGTTTTGATTTTGATTTTTTTTAGAAGCAACAAAATTCTTGTTACAGGGGGAAACATATATAAAATGAAAACAGGATTTACCAATATCGTTTGCAAAAGCATCATTGTTCTTGTTGACAAAAGAGAAAGATGGGAACGTTTAAGAGTTTGAGACAGGCTTATGATGCCCTCAAAGACTCTACCAAGGTCGGCCTTGCAAAGGTCAATAGTGATTTTACGGTATACACACGAGCCTCTTCTTGATCTCATCCTTATATTTCATCTCTTCCTTCGATATCATTTGTTTCATCTCTTCTAGGATTTAGACGTTGCCATAGTTAAAGCCACCAGCCATTCTGAATCTCCTCCAAAAGAACGTCACGTCAGAAGTAAGGTTTTCAAGAGAAATATTATTTCCCAAAATTTATTTTAAACATAATTATATTATCGTTTTTTTTTCATATTGACAGAAATATTTAGCCACATCTGCATACGACCACGAGCAGATACAGCCTACTGCATTCATGCTTTGGCCAAGAGATTATACAAAACTCGGAGTTGGATCGTAATATTTTTCATTTTTTTCAAATATTTTAATGGTTTTCCCCATATCTGGATTAGACTTTGTGGAATACAGATTTTCAAAAACAAAACAAATTTTTGGAAATTTTCTTCTAATTATTTTGATTTTCACGTTACAACAGGTTGCTATAAAGGTCTTAATAGTTATTCATAGAACATTAAGGGAAGGTGATCCTACTTTCAGAGAAGAACTTATGAGCTGCTCACACAGAGCACATATTCTCCATATATCAAACTTTAAAGATGATTCAAGTCCACTTGGTATTTACACTACATATTTTTTCCCAAAAATGTTATTTAGCATAATATTTTTTAATTCTGTAACTAAATAAACTTTTTTTATGCAGCATGGGATTGCTCTGCATGGGTTAGAACGTATGCACTCTTTTTAGAGGAAAGACTTGAATGCTTTAGAATATTAAAATATGATATTGAAACAGAAGGGTTGATTAAATCATCACCTACCACCAAGGTTTTAATTTATTCTTGTACAACTAGTTTTTACATTTTATTCAAAGTCAGTTTGCAAGCTGAAATTTTAATGTCTATGTCCTCTCAGTCACATAGCAGAACAAGGGTTTCAGGTAGTAATGAATTAATTGAGCAATTACCTGTACTGCAGCAACTTCTTTTTCGTCTTATTGGCTGTCAGGTATTTATTTCTACAATCCAACTTTTTTGGTTGTAAAAATATATTATTTCAATCGAATGAAACAATATATAATACAAATATACTTAAATTTTAGGTTATTTTAATACATTTAAAGGATGATAACTTATATATAAACGTTTTATGAGAATGCAATCATCATGATATTATTATAATAGGTTGTTTTTAATACTTCATATTTTGCAGCCAGAAGGAGCAGCTTGTACCAATTACCTTGTCCAATATGCTTTGGCTTTGGTACGAACTATACATGATCTGCTTCGTGGTTTATTCATTATTTAAATGATTTTTTTAATGCATTCAGGTATTGAAAGAGAGTTTTAAAATATTGTGGTGTAAATGATGGAATTATCAACCTTGTGGATATGGTATGTTACCTCTACATTAAAATGGAAATGCGTTATAAAGAGAAAGCATTGCATTTCATTGCATCTTACATTTTAATTGTTTACATGCAGTTCTTTGATATGCCAAAACATGAAGCCATCAAAGCTCTTAATATATACAAAGAGGTCAACAGGTTCACAAATATTCCTTTTAAATTATTATCATATTTATAAAATAAATTAATTTTGTTTTACTACATTCACAGGCAGATAATCTTGCTGAATTTTATGAATATTGCAAAGCATTAGATCTGGCTCGGAACTTTCAGTTTCCAACATTAAGACAGGTTGTTTCTTTGTTAATTACGAAATTTATAAAAGTAATAATGAATTCAAATGAGTAGTTTGTGACACATGATGCAATGGACAGCCACCACCATCATTTCTGGCGACTATGGAAGAAATATGTAAGAGAAGCTCCACAAATACGCTCCGTCCAACATAGGCTAGTGAGTTGAACCTCTTTCACTCGGATCAATGTGTCAAAGCTCCATAATTTACATTTAATGAGTTGTAATTATGATGGTGTTAAAGGAGTATGAACAAAAAGAGCAATCACCTCCACCCCAGAACAAGAAGAAGTAGTCGAAGAAAAAGAAAAAGAAATAGCATTGGCAGATGAAGAAGAGACACAGCTAAAGGAGGAACCCAAAGAAATTGAACAACTTGTGCCGGTTGATGACAGTACAGGAGATTTGTTGGTAAATTTTACACTTTTAAATTTTCTTAACAAAACAATCCATTGATGAATTTTATTAATTATTATTATTGGTGAAGGGCTTGAATGAAATTAACCCAAGAGCTTTAGAACTAGAGGAAAGCAATGCATTGGCTCTTGCAATACTTCCAGCAGGTACTGCGAATATACCAATTACCCATTCCTAGTGTTGTTTTAATTAATTTTAATATATGCTTATTTTGTCTTATAATAATCAAGGCAATGTTTCAACACCAAATCGTGGTTTAAGTGAAATTGGTGGAACGGGATGGGAACTAGCACTTGTTACAGCACCTAGCAACCATACAACTCCACCCAGGGAAAGCAAATTGGTTACTTTTCTCCACTTTTTATTATTATTATTATTATAGATTTATCAGTTTTCTGTGATTTTATTTAGTACAGATTGTTTACTTATGTTATTGTATTTTGATAGGCGGGAGGATTTGACAAATTATTACTGGATAGTTTGTATGAAGATGATGCTGCTAGAAAGCACATACGGTTAAAAAATGCAGGATATAGATACGAAGATATGAAGGTTGAACAAAATTTATTCCAACATGATCCATTTACAATGTCCAATAATATTGCACCCCCAACAAATGTACAAATGGCCTTACTAGCTCAACAACAACAACAAATGATGCTGATGCCTTATCAACACACGACTTCTTCTAACCCATTTGGAGATCCATTTTTTAACCTCCCATCAACCTCTACATCTCAATCAGCAAATCATACGTTACTTTAACCCATTCTAATTTTTAACCTACTTATAACTTTAGTTGTTTGAAATAGAGCATGTATTGTTTGCTTCGATATTAAATATACTTGACCATTTATACTTTATAGTTGTATACCCTATATACAAAAAAGAAGGTTATTACTTTTTCAAACTTGTCTTTTACTATGACAAAAGGTGAAATGTATAATTGAATTCAGAAGTAAGCTCAACTATTAGTTGGTGTAGCAGTAACGAAGAAAGAAAGAAAGAAAGAAAGAAAGAGAGAGATTCTGGTCGTCGTCTTTGCCTGATGCATTCCTTCATTTGCTGGACCATTAGCAGCAAAGCTTTCTTTTATTTTTTCAGCAATAGGCTTTGTTTTGTTATAGCAGGAAAACGCACTGTGGATAGTAAATTGGATGGTGAGCATTTAATGTTTTGAGAGATATTTTATAACACAATTTAAAGACTTGTTCCCAAATTAAGTGATAGAATAATTTAAATATGGGAAAACTAAATCTACATCAGTTCAGCTTGCTCCATGTGCTGTCCTATTTGGTAAGTGTTAATTCTCAGTTGAGAACTTTTTTTTTCCTTTGAACAAGAGAAATTAGAAAATGCTTCCCTTTGGATGAGTGATGTGTGGATCCTGTTCATCACAAGAGATATTTACTAGATTATCTGGATGCTCAAGTTCTTCGAGATGGGGATCAATCCTTTGATTATTTCTGTTAGTTGGTTACTTGGTTGCATAAGGCCTGCCTAGTACACAAACTGCTCTGTCTAATTTCTATCCTTTGTTTCTTCTTTCTTCATATGCTTCATCCAGACTTTCACAACATAGAGGAGTAGATCAATACTGACTCACCTTCTGAAAAAGCAGGCAGATTTACCTTCCGAGACTTTTCCTTAGTAGAAATGATAAAGATAAGGAAACTGATATTATTATAGGGTTTAGGGTTTTCCCGCCCTGAAACAAATACAATGATTCTTGTTGCCTGCCAACTCAACCATGACCAAATGTTTTTCATTCTTCACCATTTAAACAAGCATTTATGTAGCCATTGGCTCAAAATAAGTAAACCAATGAAGACAACAGGTTTTTTTAGCCTTGACTTGAGATCAGTCATGAAAGAAGGATGAATGGAGAGGAAGCATACATGTGATCTAAGTTGAGAAATTGAAAATTTTCAAGTGATGTTAAGCTCTGCATCCATCAGAAATGATACAAAGACTTGGTTAAATGATATACCTTTATGTCAAAAAAATAAGTTGTCCTGTAAAAAGTCAAAAGCGAAATGAAGAAAAGACTAAGTCGTCCTATGATGGAGAGAAATTCTGTCTCCTTGCAGAGCTAAAGTTGTGAGGGCGTCTAACATGTCATCAATCCTTGAGTGAGAGAAATCCCCAACTGTGAAATTTTCATAACCACCCTTTACTTGAACCATGCTATAACCAGCTTCCTTCTTCAGTCCACTCCCCTTCATCTTCTTTCTGCCCTCTGCAACACCATCCCACATCTCATCTGAAGCATACAAGTTTGACAATAGAAATAAGGTGATGTGTCCCTGCTTCAAGTTTCAGAAGCTGTTTAGCTAACCGTTCCCCCATCATCACATCTCCATGCAGCCTGCGCAGACAGCAGGCTCCCTAACACCACCTCATCTTCCCCAAAGCAAATCTCCCCGTGTAATCTTCTGCCTTATTTAATCGGCCAGCTCGTCCAAGCATATCAATAAGACACGAAAAATGCTCTATATCAGGAGCAATGCCATAGGTTTCTTGCATGCAATCGAAAACAAGAAGGCCTTCATCCACCATTCCAGCATGATTGCATGCCATCAGAAGCCCCACAAATGTCACACAGTCTGGCTCCAATCCGTCTGCCCTCAGCTGCTCAAAATGCTCCAGGGCTCTGCTTCCAAGCCCATGGTTCCCAAATGCAGCAATGATGGTATTCCATGTCACAAGATTACGACAGGGCATCCTGTTAAATACATTATATGCATATGCAATGGAACCACATTTTGCATACATGTTGGTGAGGGCATTATCAACTCCCACATCTGGGTTCAGCCTTGTTTTATCAGATGAGCATGAATCTGCTTGCCGTAAGGCATTGAAGCAAGCGCAGCAGAGGCAGAAAGGGCAGTAGCAAAAGTGAAATCATCTGGTCTCATGTGATATGCATTAAACATCTCCCCAAAAGCTTTTAAACTTTTCATGATTTTCACAATGATAGCAGGCAGCTATGAAAGTGTTCCAGGAAATGACATCCTTTTCCTGGACTAATTAAAGGCTTTTTCTACGTCTTCCATCAAACTAAACTTTGAGTACATTGTCATTATCACGTTACCTATAAAAGTGCTGGAGTCAAGCCTGTGTTTGATTGTCCGACAATGCAATGTCATTCCTCTGTGTAAAGCATTTGAGTCGGCACAACTCCTGAGTAGTCCAACGAAAGTAAAGTGATCTGCACAAAGCTTTCTTGATGCATATGCTTAAAAACTTGAAAACCCTTTTCAGGTTGCTGGTTTTCTATGAATCCCGTAATTATAGCATTATAAGACACGGCGTTTTGGTTCTAAAGCCTCAGAATAGACTGACAAGGCATCATTAGAATGACCATTTCATGTACATTGAGATAAGGGAGTTTGAAACAAATGATACAGATGCGTATCCGGACTTGAATGATTGAGCATGAATTTTCCGTCCTTCCCCTAACAACATCAGGTTGGAGCAAGCAGTAATGGCACTGGAAAATGTACTCATTGGGCGGAAGGCGCATTTGGGAAAACAAATCAAGTGCAATAAGGGACCCCAGCCTGGTCATAACCAGAGATCATGGCAGACCATGAAACAAGGTTTCTTTCAGACATTTCGTCAAATACCTGCCGTGCAGAGTTGATGCGGCCACACTTTGCATACATGTTAAGGACGGTTGGAAACAATGACATCGGCCTGCATACCAACCTTGAAAATGGCAGCATGAAGTGAAAGACCAGAACGAAATGCCTTAGTTTTGGAGCAAGGTGCAACAGCGAGCCGATAGTTTCAGGAACCATTCAATCTTGACACCATATACAACACGTACCAATCCCGTCTCCTTTAACATCCAGCACGAAAGCCTTGTTATTATGCAAAAGCCAAGTGGATGAGAACAGTAGTTTATTGAAAGGGTAAATTTGGTTATTTAAACCAATCTGTTTTTTCTTTTTGTATTTTCATCTTAAACCAACGCATTAACTGGCAAAGTTTTTGCAAGCTTTATTGGAAAATTTACATTAATTTGCAAAGTTGTTGATGAATTGGAGACTAAAGAAGCAAAAGTATTTGCCTAAAAAGGGTGAGACGTCTATGATTTTGTGTTTCCGAATTAGCCAAGACACGAACAGGCCTGTGAGAACGAGAGAGGAAAGCAGATGCCTGGTTCAGAATAAATGTTACCGTTGTAGTAATTCTATATAAGATTATATATATCATTGCAATTTACAGTAAATGATAACATAACCAAAGACATTCTATTAATGATAATGTCCATTTCTTTTTACTCCACAATATTACTTTTGAGTCACAAATTCCTGGATCATTTGATTCTACAACCCCACACATTTGAAGATCCTAGTTCCTATACAAGTTAAACATCTCTATTCGGAGATGATTTCCGTTAAGCCAGTTCTATAATGTCCATGTTTACCACAACATTCTTTCATATAGCTCTTGCAACAACCACCAAATTCTCTCTTCTCCACACTCGTACAACCATGCCTACTCTCATGCATTGGAATCTATGGTAGTGTGAGGTGGCTCACTATTATCTGTAAAACTCTTGTTTGAATATAGAACACCCTCTGGGTTTGGGGCCTCCAAACAACAATGCTCTACCAAGTTTCCTAATGCTTTAAAGTCAGTATGGTTTTCGCCACAAGTGGAGTGACAATGATCATCTTTTGTCTCTTCCTGGTTAGACGAATGATGTAAATCCCCCTGGTTTTCCCCGCGGAGATCATTCGATTCTAAACACAAACCTGAACAACAGTTGCTGGGGTTGTTGCCCTCAATCTCGTGATTGACAGTGTTACAACTTCCCTGGTCACAATGCTTTGCTTCATGACTATGACAAGTATCACGTGTCCCTGCACATTTACCGCTCCCAGATGAATTTGAAGATGAATGTGACATGGAAGTGCTAGATTGACATCTTGAGGCACAACTAGAAGAGGAACACTGTTGGGGCTCACATGCCTTTCGGACCTTTTTGTTTACGTTACCATGTTGATGGTTATGAGATGAATGGCAACGGCTGGTTTTACACCCATGTTTGTCCATATGTGATTTAGCTGAAGAGTTGCAACATTTTCCTGCATGTTTGTGTGTTCCTTGTAAAAGGAGCATGCTATTGAAGATCACCAACAAGCATGTACCGACATCAGCAAGAACCGCTGCCCACACAAGTGGATGACCAGCAAATGCCAATGCCAGAATAGCCACCTTAGTACTGATCGACAAAATTACATTCTGAATCACTTTACTGTGAGCCTTTCTCGCCAGTTGGATAGCTTTTGGTATCTTTCTGATGTCATTTGACATGAGAATCACATGTCCTGTCTCTGTTGCAAGTGCAGAACCCGAAATGCCCATTGAGATACCAATATCAGCTGTAGCAAGTGCAGGTGCATCATTGATGCCATCTCCAATCATTGCTGTTGGCCCTTCTTTCTTAAAATCTTTGATTATTCTTCCCTTGTCTTCGGGAAAAAGTTCTGCATAGATCACATCTAGACCATTCCCCAGCAAGTAGCATAAATTTAAGATCAATCATTTCTCATCAACTCGGATTTAAACCTTCCATCTTAAGCTAAATAGAACATCAACAATTAGAACAGCAGTTGAACACAATTTCTGCACAGAGTTTCTAGTGTCATCATTACTATTTGGATTGTGTGAAAACATTTGTAGCATTTCAGGCAAAAAGTTCAAGACCTGGTTTATCATGAGTTATAGGAAGTGCACCTGTTCTTGTACGTGTATGGCTGTTGCTTGATTGTCTCCTGTTTAGCAAAGCAGTTTTGATCCCCATTGACTTCAGCTCATTTACTGCCTCTGCAGCACCAGTTCGACAAGCGTCTGAGAGACAGAAGATACCAGCTGGGGTTGCTCAGAAAATACATATCCAATTGTCTTGCCTTCCATCATATTGCCTTGTAGAATTGGAGCTATATACATGATACTCGATTTAGAATATGAAATCAGAATGCTTAACAGTTCGGTTCTGCAATTGATCGCATTAATAATAATATTCTGAACTGAGGTCTACTAAATAAGCTGAGGAAAAGAAGCAAAAGCTTTCACCTGTTCCATGGGCTCTCTCTGATATTTTTTTGCTTCCGATGTAAATATCTCTTCCATCAATTCTCCCATAAATACCTTCTCCAGGGAAATTTTGATAATCCCCACAGTTTCAGGCTTTGGTTCAATTGAATGTGATCTTCCGTATTCTATAAGTGCAGCTGCCATTGGATGACTTGACTTACTCTCAATGCTTGAAACCCTTTAAAAATATTGTAACAAATATTAACATCCAGTAGCAGATTTCTGCTTGCTTGGGTAAATAAAATCATATTATCCGGAAAAAAAAAGGGAAACATGCCAGTACTGCTACAGCTGATAATATAAATTCAATTGCTTGATTCCTTCAATTTTCTAATCAAGTAACGCACAAATCATATAAAAGTTTGAAAGCCCACACCAGTAAAGCAATGTGTTGAAGCTTGTATCTTCACACAGAGATCGGAAATCGGTCACAACAAATTCGCCCCTGGTAAGTGTGCCAGTTTTGTCGAAAGCTGTGATGTTAATCTTAGAAAGAGTTTCGAGATAGTCGCCCCTCTTAACCAGAAGTCCTGATGTTGCTGCTTTTGTAAGTGCACAAAAGGTGGCAACAGGAGTGGAAAGGATAAGCGCGCATGGACATGCACTCACCAACACAACCAATGCCAAGTGAAACCAGTAGTGAAGGTTATGCACTCTCAATGCAGCTGGAATCACGGCAATGCTGGCTGATACAACTATAATTGCTGCAAATAAGATAAGTAGTATTAGTATGTTTGCACTTGTTGAAGAAAACCAAAAGCAAGCAATTTCACTATTTCAGTGATGTTGTTTCCTTTCCTAGCTAATTTAGTCTCCATTAATGTAGAATGGTGGTAGTTAAGAAAAGACTTGTTAATGTCACGTGTAGGTGAAATAAACTAACCTGGGGTGTAGAACTGAGCACATTTGTCTATAAATCTTTGGGTGGTAGATTTGCTGTTTTGAGCTTCCTCCACGAGCTTTGCCATTTTAGCCACTACACAGTCTTCAGCCACGGCAGTGGTTTCACGCTAATGTAACCTATATTATAGAAATTAGGAGGAGCGCAGTGAGCACCAAAATTCCATGAGTTTAAAACAAAATAAAGTGATGTTACCATTTAGATTTATGGTGCCAGCCCAGACAGTTGAATCCTTTTGTTTGGGAAGGAAGTGGGTTCTCCAGTGAGGGTTTTCTCATCCACTTCACATTTCCCATCTACAACGATTCCATCAATGGGTATAACTTCACCGGCTTTGACTGCCAAGACAGTGTTCAATTTCACTTCATCCGCATCCACTTCTTCTCCACTCTCTGCTATCACTGCTTTTTGAGGACTTATACTCATCAATGAAGACATTACAGCAGTAGCCTGACATAATTATGCTTAAAGTTAACCATGTTCACTTTTTTTTTTATTTAAAGATAGGAATGACTTGGGTTGAAATTTGTATTAGGTACATAATGAGAGGTGGCAATTAAAAATATAGCAAACCTTATGGCTTGCTCTTGACTCGAGCCATTCCGCAGTGGTGAAGAGGAAGACTATAGTGGCGGCTTCAGTGTCTTTCATTGCAAGGCTCCCCATCACTGCAACAAACAAATAACAGATACGGTTCAAGACCAAGTTATCAATACTACTCATCAACTGTCCACTACGCATTCCAACTATTGGATACCATACTTCAATTTCTTTTTTCTTCCATATTAACAATTTAAACACATTTCTTTGTTATACTACTCAACTTCTGTATGCTTTGATATTATATAACTTTTATTTACAATGAATTGGGCCAGTTCCACTAAAGCCTTCTCCCTTTTTTCTTTTAAAAATTAATTAAAATAATTTTTTACTATTAAAGTAAATACAATTTTATTTTTAATATTATTTAAATTAAACTAACTCAGCCCAGTTATATTATCAAAAATCATCTCAAATACGTGTATTTAAAAGTTCTCACGCCAATATAAGTGTGTGCGTATTAAAATAAGGTTAAGTTTATAAAAAAATAATTTTCTAATGATTCATATTCGATCATGATTCAAATAAACTGGGAAACTCCCTTACTAATAATGATCATCTATTTTTGGATTAATGAAGGCTGATTATGAATACTTGTTGCAGATCAGGCTTTATACGTGTTGTGGATACATGGACCGGAAATGACCCAAAGATTGCATACGTCGTCTTGACTGCTTTTAGATTTATTGGGAAAATATACTAAAGTTTAATGAATTAGATTAAAATGATTATATTCCAAGTTTAATAAATGCAGCATGTGATCCAAACAAAAAACAAGACCTGATTGGATTCCACTAGAATAAGGATGTTAGAGATACGGGATTAGCAGTTGAGGTGTTAGACTGGGACAGCCACATATAGCTTAAAAAAGGATGGGCAGAGAGCAGAAAGAAATAAAGTTGAAAGGGAAAACAACTAGTAATGGCAATGAGAAATCTTAAGGGACCCAATTCTTTTGTTTTCCTTTTTTTTCTCTTACGGTCATCGTAAAAGGAAAGCTACGAGTGGACGCTACCCAAATCCGGCCATCGGTAGTTGCCTTTTATGGGCAATTCCATTTCTGCCAAATGCTATGCTAAACCCTGTTTCCACCTAAATAAATTCTTACTGGAAGAACCCAGGATTCATTATATTGTCTTCTTTTTTAAAAGACAATTATATATATATCGAGTAGATTTAAGCATTTGTTATTGTATACTAATGGATATCACAAAGTGGCTTTTCTTTTTTGGTAAGTTGATCATCAAATTATAGAACTCAACCCGACAAAAAAAGATAGAAACTATGGAGGTTCTAAAGAACGTAATCAAATACCTCAGAACCAATCAAATGAATATATATATATATATATCTTTATCTCCAAAATGAAAAAGAAGCGTTCCCTCCTGCTAAGCATTATTGTCACGACAGAGAACCATTACGAGTTTCAAGGGTTGGACTCCCACCAAAAGTTGTACTAAAAAAAAAAAATAAAAGAACCCGGCAAATAACAACAGTAAATATACAAAGGCACTGATAAACCACAGAGTTTTGATTGTTCTGCATAATTTCACTTAAGCCCAAGTAAGTCCAGAAGGAAAACATTTTATAAAAGCTTTGTTCCACATTAATTTTCAAATCTAAGGTACCCTTTCCCTTAAAAAGAAAAACCCTCACTCCTCTAAAATTCTTTAACACGAACGTTTGAAAAGAAAATAAAATAAAAGGGTAAGCTAAGGACAGTTCTTTCTAATATAAATTTAATAATTATGTACGAAAATTTTAAAATAAAAAGAAGCTGCCATGACTTTCAATCAATAAAAGGTTGACAAGTAGCCCTAGGTGCCACGACAAAATCACGTAATTGTCACATCAACAAAAATAAAAGATAAAAACTAAAAAAAAATTCCACTACAAAATCATTGTTTTTTTCTTTAAAGAGAGAAAGGTTGTTGGCCCGTGATGAATTTTGCTTGCACTAATCAGATCAGCGATTAGTGTGAGCAAGTAAATGTTTAAAGGGGAGAAAAGGAAAAGAAAAAGGGCAGTCAGCCTACTTTAGGACTCCTTCCTCCCCTCTCCATCTTTGCCTCATATTTTTTCGTTCTTTAGGGTAACTATTTTGTGCTTGATTTTTTTTATAGGCAAAGTCAAAAATTTTGATATAGTCTTAATAAACCAAATAATGAGGCAATAACAATGATTTTCTTTTTATATTGGTGCAGCAATAACAATAATAAAGCGATGTACTGTTGATTGAAAAGGTTATATATCAGTTGATTACCGGTGTTAATCATCATTATAGTAATCTGAAGTTGAAATATTTAATTTAGTTTTTATCCTGAGTTGTATAGTTAGTTAATATATGAAATAAATATGTCATGGAAAAGATGTCCAGAATTTATAATTTGTTTTTTGTCAACAAGAAATGCATGCATCCAAGTAACTAAAGCATGCACCGTCAACTCATCCAAGAAAATAAAGATTTGTTGATTACCCGCTATCAGCATGAGGATGTTTGATATCCAGCCTGAAATTGGTGATGGCCGCATAGCCCTTCAAAAGGACGGGGCCGATGCCAACAAGCACCGCTGCCACAGCTACCCATTGCAAAGGATGGTACACATACGAAAAGGGATATCAAAAGCAGCAACCCACAAGCTATTGCAAAAGGACTTGGCCATTTCTTTTGGTACGTTATCTCCCCATGTGCTCTCACATTTGCTTCCAGCCTTGCTTGGTTTAGAGCCTTTACTGTTCAAAAGTAACATCTAATTTCGTAATAAATTCCAAACACAAAACATTTGGTGCTTCCCAATCATTTCGTAATATAATGGCCTGCCCAACTATCAATATCACTGTACCGTCAAACCAAACATGCTTCTCCTCTCATAATAAAGCTGCCCAATTATATCATTCCTAATTTAATAAAATGAGATTTTAAACATGTTTTTGTATAAATAAATACTTCTCGAAAATAATGTCAGTTTTTTTTCAAAAAAAATATCACGTCATTCTCACTAACGTATCAAAATATTTTTAAAAAAATACAAAATCAAATTGTATACTATTTCTTTTTCCTTTATAACAGGAACTTCTGGTATAAGCTTAAAAGCCGTTTCTCTCTCTCTCTCTCTCTCTCTTTGGGGGGAGGGTGTCCAAAGCCGTTTCGAGAACAACAGATTACCATCTAATGTTAAAGAAGAAGAAAAAGAATAATTAAAGAGGAGGTTTACCGATTTGAAGCTGAGAAACAAGGAGATCATCATGAAGAACAATGACGGTTCTGGTAGGAACAATCACAGATACTTCTTTCACCCCTTCAACTGATTTCAATATGTTTTCTATCAGCGGAACCTCAGAGGAACAGCATAGTCCCAACACATCAAAGTAGCTCTTCTGCAGTTTTTTATCATTTGCACCCATTTGTTCCCAATTGCTGCAAAGAAGGAAAATTAAAATTTAAAAGCGGATCCACTTTGAGGTTTCTCAATTGACTGGAAGCTGGAATTCCATTGAAAGACAAAAACAAATCATGAAAGTTTGAAGATGTTTCCGGTTGTATTTTGAATTATAAAATAGCTGTGATGATCCCCCAAAAAAAGAAGATTTGGAGTTAGAGTTACCTTTGTAATTAAAGGAGAGGAGATATAGAGTTGGTTCAGAGTCAGCTAGGAAGGGTTTATGTAGAGATGATTGGCAGAACTGCTCACTGAGACGACATAATTAAGAAAAGGAAAAAAAAAGAACAAAATAAGTGAATGAGAATTCTTAAAGAAATATCTAATGAATCCTTTTGTGCGTGATCTTGGATGGGACTGTGGAATATAATGGACTTATCTCTCTCACCTTTCTCACCCAAATAATGCAGAATGAAGGTTTGCAATGGAATCCACCTATGAATCCACGTTTCCCCCCCGGAATTTTATTTATTTTTAGCCAAATTTTCGTTAGTTTTTCAGAATATTGTTTCGTCCATAAGTAATAAAAAATAAATATAAATATAAAATTTCAAAAATTAAAGTAATATATAACATTTGTTTTTAATAAAACATTTGAAAAATATATAATTTCAAAATGGGAAAATAAAAAATATATTTTTAAATAACAAAAATTAAAACAAATAACACATATTATAAAAATAAAAAATAATAAATGTCTTCTTTGTACAAATCTAGACAATTTGAGTATGTCATATTTCTCAAATATATTTTAATTATGAATCAAATTGAAACTTTTTGACATAATTTAGTCCTCAAATTTAATTAGAAGCAAACAACATATCAATGATACTGATTTGAGTTTCTCCATAATTAGTTAGTCGATTATGAATTTTCTTTTGTTGTGTCATTGAATAAATTAATAAGAAATTGAGTTTTACAATGGAGAAATCGAACTTGTGTCATGTTTATATCAATTACGTCATCAAAAATTAAAATTTGATCAAATTAAAACTCATGAATATCACTTCAGTGAAAACTATGTTCTATTATTTTTAAATTGCATGAAAAAACCATTAATTATCACGTTAGCAATTAACACCATTAATTATCATATCATTGCACTACTAATCGATAATGATTTTTATTAAACAAAGAGTTAATTAATACATTTTCAAATTTTAAAAAAAAAAATTAAATACAATATTAAGGGATTTAATTTTTTTTCAAATAATAGGATCAAAATACCCTTAGGCCTTAAGCAATAATATATCTTTAGCTAAAACAAAGGCAGCGACGAATTCCCAATTCTTTAATAAAGAACATCTATTTCTTTTCTTTTCTCCCTCTCGGTTCCTAATATTTCGTCATGACTAATCCAAATCGACTCAGGTCGTACACCTGATTTAGGCGGATGAGTCTCCCAACGGAGATTTTCTACATATATAAAGACTCGAACTTCGAAACATACTTAAGCGATATCAAAATACTTACTACTTAAACCAAACTCCATCGGTAAATGACATCTATTTCCATCCAACTCAATTATTGCGTTGTGTAGTTTCATACGTAGCCCAAGCTTTTCTCTTCCTCTTTCTGGCCGATGTTGCTTGTCTAACTGAAAATATAAAACCTTTATGCTGCTTATCTGATTGAAAATAAATATAAATTATATTTCTTTATTTTTATTTTCTTCTTTTATATATAAATCAAATCAATTATCTTTATAAATATAATTTTTCTTTTTCATTTACCTTAAAACCAAGATCGAGTTAAACTATTAATTCTGTATCGAGTTTTAATCAAATTCTGAGTAGCGACATTTGAATATAGCTTCTCATTACAATAAATAATTCTTCTAGTTTAAAAGAGCATGTAACACTCGCAGTTACATTAAATTTAACTTTCAAAGTTCACTATACTACCTTAAAAATCATATGTATGCTACCAAAAAAAATCATCATACGTAAAAAAAAATAGATTTTACCATTTTTTCTGATATATTAATTTTCGTCTTATACATGCTCACGTATAACTCATGTCCTGCTTTTCTTTTTGTCGTCAGTGGGTGGTTGAGAAATACATGCAACGTTCCATAAGCATGACCCGTGTACAACTTAGACCTGACGCGATGCCTTTACCTTTTTTTTCTTTCTAAAAATGAATGTGGATTTTAATTTACTCTCTCTGTGTTACAGCGGAATTCGGTGAAAGAATTTAGAGGATTTAATTGAAAAATTTTAAATGTTAAAAGTTTAAATTACTTTATAAAAAAACGTAAAGGGTGATTGCTGGCATAAAGTAGTACTATGCTTGAAGCCACGTTTGAAACGGTTCTCTATATTAAGGCGTGTTTGGTTGGGTAAATGTAGGATTTTTATGGGAATGAAATTCATATTCTCCCGTTTGGTTAGTCGGAAATCTCATTTTCAGTAATATAAGATTACCAATAGTGGATTTTTTGGGGTATATTATCGGGAATGTCATTATCTCTCTTTCCTTAGGTATTGTTGGATTACCGGTGTTTTGGACTAAAAAGCCCTTAATTTTTTTTTCAAAAATATCATTCTTCTAACATTGAATAATAAAAATTATACGAAACTAAAATTACAAATTTATCCTTAAATTATTTTAGATTTACAAAAAAATCTATAATTAAAATTTTATATGAAGTTCATGGGTTAAAATAAAATTTCACCCTTTCATTAAACCTTTTTTTATTTTCAATTTTGTAAAAAAAATTATATAAATTTTATGAATTTAAATTTTTTAAAGAAAATATATAAATATTTTTCAACTTGTTAAAAAAATAAATATGTAATAAGGACAATTTGATCAAATATACATTCCAATAATCTTTATTCCTTTAACCAACACGGTAATCTTACATTCCTGCTAAACCAACCAAACACAAAATACAACATTCTCAGTAATCATATTCTCTGGTAATCTTACATTTCCACTAGTAATCTTACATTCCGTGAACCAAACACACCCTAAGAGTTTTACATTGCTATAAGAGCTAATTAGGATAATCCCTTCTTGTCGTATTTGTTTATCGGCTTAAAGAATAAAAAAAGTTATTTAATTATCTTGAAAAAATAATTATATTTTATACATAATAGTTCCCTTGACTATAGGATGCTACTTTGTTGAGTCCTTAAATTATCAAAAGTTATAAATGATCATTCAACCATAGGATGTTACTTTGTTGAGTCATTCGACTACTAAAAGTTACAAAATGGTCACTTTACTATACATATGTTTCAAACTCATCATTTTTTGTTAAAAAATTGGCGGTTGTCTGAACTGAATATTAATATGTTGAATGGGGTATAATAAAGTTTTATCCCATAATTGTTTGAATTGTATTTTGTGGACCGACTCTTTGTATATATTATGTCATCGAGTCAATGCTTGAAACATTATATCATCTTGACAGTGCTTGAAAGCAACAATGGTTCCACTAGACATCATTAAAATATGATTTTATTATATTTCAATCAGCATATTAACATCCAACTCAGATGATCGTCAATTTTTTTTATCGAAAAATGATGAGTTAGGAACATATGAATAGTCGGGTGACAATTTTGTAACTTTTAATAGTCGGGGGACTCAACAAAACAATGTCCTATAGTTGTGGGATCATTTTGTAATTTTTAATAGTAGAGGGACTCAACAATATAACACCCTATAGTTGAGGGATCATTTGTGTACTTTACCCTTTTACATTTAATTAGATGATTTTTGTGTTAGAAGAAGGAGAATATGGTTTCGAAAAATGTTAATCGAGAGTCAGCTAATTAATTCGATCCAAAGAGTTTGTGGATGATATGATGAATATTTAGGTGTAGGTATTCTTCATGGGAGGTCTTCTAATAGACATTGAAGGAGGTGGAGCAGCTTTTATTCTTAATTAATTTTTAGTTGACGCCAATTATCTTCCGTTAAGCTTGTCAAAACAAAGCTAATTAGCCCAAAATCTGCCAAACAAATTTATAATTAAGCGCTAAAAAATTATAAAATGATTTAACATGAGCAGTTAAAATTTGATATTCCTTTATAATAATATTTCAGGTCGGCTACATGCCTACATATAAATCAATTTATGAGTTAAGTTCCAAACAATAATTTTAAATATATATATATATATATATTATAATGGGTTGAATATGGATATTGATTGGATTTGTATATAAACTTTTAAATGTATCATTTAAAATCAAATTAAGAATTTATTATTAATAACATAATTCTTTTTAATTGGTAAAATTTTAAAACTTATTCTATATTGTATTGTTGATTCGAATCTTAATATTTACTTTGAAAATTCAACATATTCACTTAATTAAAATTTTTTGAAAATAAATAAATAAAAGCATTCACTTTTATTAATAGTTGGGTTCCTAATGTTTACTCTTTTGTCAATTCTGGGTGGGCCAAAATTCTAACATAAATTCTATTCCATTCTGATTTCTGAAGCCCATGAAAGGTATCAGCCAATGTCAACGGCATTATCGCCATCTCTATCTAAATATTTTTTTTTATTATCGTCGTAAAAAATGCTAGTTTATTTTATGCTCTTTTATTGCATCCAAGTATTATGATCCAAACCTTAATGTCTCTTTCTATTAATAGTTTAACTAGGTATCCAATAAAACATATCCACGTGAACGTCAAATTCTCAAAAGGATATAATGTACGTTTTTTTATTATTATTAGCGAAGAGACATTAAAGTTTGAGCATATTACACACATGCGTCGGAAATATGGTAATCCCATTCGCATCCTCAGATAAGATATAATTTTTAAAATAAAAGGTTAAAAGTTTTCAATTTACACGTCATTTTTTCCTTAGATTATAAGCTTAATATTTATTAAGAATAAAAGTCTTCTTCCTCTCCTCTAGATAAAAAAATGATCTTAAAAAAACTCCATTAGTTTCAATAAAAAAATATAGCCTTCTCCATGAAAAATTTTACTATGCAACCTAATTTAAGTTTTAAAAAACGGCAATATTAGGGAACAACAAAAAATGAATTATCAAAGATTCCGTTTCTACCAAACTGAGGGGGTTAATATTAATATGTCTGATAGTATCAATATTTCTCTATGTAATTATTAGAGTATTGATTAACCGATCTTTTGTCTTGTAAGTATGGTGTACATATGATTTTTGTGATCGGTTATTTTTGTAGCAGTTCTTGATTCGTTAGGTAATAAAATTGAATTATCCAAAAAAATGAGATAAAAATCATAATACTTTTATTAACATTTA